GCCTTCAGCCATCCATAACAGAACCAACTCCTTTTTGTCAAATTCATAGTCTTTAGGGAACAAAGCACAATAAACAAAGCATCGCTTCAAGTGACAAGGAAGATCATTGTAGCTCAATCTTAAAGCAGGAAGAATTCCACTTCTATCTTCTGATAAACTCCATATGTCACTATTTAATATATTCTCCCACTCATCACGACACAGCTTTCCCCGCAAGACGCCACCCAGTGTTTTTAGTGCTAATGGCAATCTTTTGCACCTCTCAACAAGCTTCTCACCAACATCTTGCAGGTCTGGGTGTGCATCAAAGTTCTCTTTCCCCAGTGCATGTCGTGTAAATAATGGCAAACAAGCATCATCTTGTAGCAATTCTAAATTGTAAACTCGATCATCTCCTCTCATCATCATCCCAACATCCTTATTTCGAGTTGTAACAATTATTTTACTTCCAAGAGCTCCTGACTTGAAAGGTCTCTTCAATTTATCCCAATTGCCATATTCCTTATTCCAAACATCATCCAATATAAGAAAAAACTTGCGCCCAGATAACTTCCCTTTCAATTGCTTTTGAAGTGAATCGAAATCATCAATATCACAGTTTCTCCCAGTTACCTGTTCTAAAATGGTTCTTGTTATTTTTGGAACATCAAATACATCAGCAACACAAACCCATGCCTTCAAGTCAAACTTGCCTTCCAATTTCTCATCATTGTAAATGAGCCGAGCAAGAGTTGTCTTGCCTATTCCACCCATTCCAACAATGGGAATAACAAAGTCTTGTTCAAGACTGCCTCCGTCTTCTAGCAACCTTTGAAGAATAGCTTGTTTATCACTATCTCGACCCAACACCATATCTTCAAGAAGAGAAGACTCAGGTAATCTTTTTGCAGCTACTTTGTGAGACTTATCTTCAAGTTTCAAAGCCCAATTGGCCAGGTCCAAACTACGCATCCCATTGTCAATTTTCTGCAATCTGCCACTCAGATCCTTCACCATGGAATTGATCTTTGGATTAAGCTTGGCCTTAGATCTAAAAAAATTCATGACAATGGAGGCGATTTTTTGTCGCTTGTTGGCTCTGGCATCAGATTCTGCAATCAATTCGGACCTCTTGGCATCAATCACAAACTCTTCAAGTATGTACTCCATATCGTAAGCCAAGTCCTTAAGATCATCAAGACATGACTTCACAAACTGGTTAGCAACTTGATTTTCTTCAGCATGTTGAAGTACAGCAGTAATTTTGGACAATAGAGTCTTCCAGCTTTCCATCTGGGCACGTATTTCCTCCGTTGAATCCCATAGCTGAGCACTTAGATATCCATTCAACTTTTCGAATAGCAAATCCAACGTAGCAGATAAAAGAGAACATCCAACAAAGGATACCACCTCCATTTGATGCATAAATGCTCTGATGAATTAAAAAGATAGTCAATAAAAAGTTTTGAAATAATGAAATTTAAACAGCACAAATTAATTCACCTAATAATATCTCTCTAATTGGTTCAATATACTCGTATTTGAAAATTAAAAAAAAAAAAAAAAAAAAAAAAAAAAAAAAAAAAAAAAAAAACAGAGGAATAAC